GATTTTTTACGGTGGTGTTGACCCGACGTCGGCCCACGCAGTGATTCCGCCACTGTCGTTCCTCCGGGCAGAATTAGTTAAGCGGACGGGTGTGACTAGCAAGGGTTGGGATACAAAGACATTACCCTAATACAGTTATACCCCCTACCACGCCTCACAACTGCCTACTAAACATACGGTATGCAACAATTGACATGTCATCCCATGTTTGCCGCAAGTATCTTCGCGTGCGGCACCATTACTGGCAGCAGCCGAGCGTTGTCCCACGCTCTCTTGTCGGAATGGTGTTGTTGCTACTGGTGCTGCTTGTGGTGATTGTGTTGGTGCAAGATTTGCTACACTGTAGACTGAGCCTCGTTCTGTCGTCAGCGTCGCAATTTCTAGTGCGTTGTTTTGCAGTTGCTGCATTATCTCGTCCACACGTTCAATGCGGTCGCCCATGTCGAAGGACGTCGATCGTGACTGCACGTGCTTACGAGAGAGCACGAGGGCAGGGGCTCCTAGTACGCTGAGGGGCGTCTATCCGTTCGAGTGAAAAGCAAAAGTTAGAGAGTTGTTGTTTGCCAAAAAATGCACGGTCCAAAGAAAGTGGCTCTGATAACCATCTGTTACGGGTGCAATTGAACGAGCGAGTAAGTGAACATTGTACTAAAGAGTCAACGGGTACAAATGTGAGCGAAGGCATGAACGAACTTTCAAAACAAGGAAAGAGGAATGAATGCACTAGGCAGAAGTTGAGTACAAGTACCTAACCCTAAATGGGTTGTACCCCATAGAACATGACCCACTACAGCCTAACATCACAATATTGTTTGACACACCCCCATAGGCAAAGTGGGAGATACAAGCATAACAAGCGGTCACAAGACCAGTCAAGAGAATAAACAAAAAACAAAGTGCAGGGTGGATCTCAAGGACACTACACACTCCGAGCACAAGCAAGCAGCCACAAGGCCAGTTCACATGCAGAGTTATAATAGCACAAGATGTACAATGATTACAACCTGGCAACTACAAACATGCAGGTTTATATATCAAAGTACAGAGCAAGGTAAAGAGACAAGCAAGTGAGGCAGAGTGGGCACAACCCCAACAGCAGTGCAGAAATGCTAATGATCACTAGACCCAAGAGCCTTGGTGAAGACATCAGCAGTGTTGGCCTGTCTAGCCACGTAAGCAAGACGAAGCTGACCACGCTGCTGCAGCCCTTGAGTGAAAAAGTAACGGAGAGCAATGTGCTTCGCTCTGTAATCCAGTCTCTGGTCCTGACACAAGGCAATCATAGCCTTGTTGTCGACGTACAGAACTGGAGGGAAACGAGGCCGCTCACCCAAGTCGGTCAGCAGGTAGGCCGGCCAGCGGAGCTCCTGTGCAGCCATAGCCCCAGCGTAGATCTCAGCCTCACAGCTGAAACTAAGTACAGAAGAAGAGCGAGTGGACCTCCACGACACAGAACCAGTGCCGAGGTTGAAACATTACCCGTGTGTCGACCGGTGAGTCATCTGGTCCTCAGCCCAAGAAGCGTCTGAGTGACCGGTGAGAACAACTGAACCCGGTCCTCCAAGCACGAGCCCCATGCCCGATGTACTGCACATGTAACGCAATACCCTCTTTGAAGTGCACCTTTCGGTGTCTACCGGGAGCCACGTAGCGAGCCAGGAGGCTGAGAGGGTACGCGAGGTCAGGTTGTGTGCACGTCATCAGGTACATGAGGCAACCCTCAAGCTCTGGGTACGGACCATTCGGCTCTACGGACTCGTCCGGAGGTGGAGCTTAGAGCGAGTGGCCGGTAGACAGAGGAGTGGGCTGTGGCGAGGACCACGTGAAGTCGAAGCGCTGAAGGACCTGCTGCACAATGTGTGACTGAGTGAGGGCGATGGTGCAGCGTGCTCTGTCCCAGGTGATCTGCTTGCCAAGATGGCTCCGCAGCTCACCCAGCTCAGTGCAGCTGTGTCTCTCCTGCAGCTCCGCCATCACCAACGCGAGAGCCTCAGTGTCAGCAATAGCAAAAACCAAGTCGTCAACGTACACGAGAACGTAGAACGGTGGCAGAGAAGTGTTTGTACGCAGAAACAACGAAGGGTCAGCAGTCGAGGGAGCGAAGCCAAGAGCCGCAAGTTTAGTCCTCAGTGTGTCGTGCCACTCGCGGGGCGCCCGTGATAGGCCGTAGACTGGTCGTGGAAGACTCCACTGGGTACCCTCAGGAAACGGCCCAGTGAAGCCACGAGGACGGCGCAACCAGATAGCCTCGTGAAGTCTGCCCTGCAAGAAAGCTGTCGAGAAGTCGAGAGAGTGCAGCTCGTAGTCACGCTGTGCTGCAAGGTGCAGTAGCACCCAAAGAGTGGTCATATTCTGGGTGGGGAAGAAGGTCCGAAAAAAGTCGACCCCCTCACGCTGTCTGAAGCCTCGTGCAACGTAACGCGCCTTGAAGGCAGGCGGAGAACCCGGCAGCTGCTTCACCCTGAAAATCCACATGCCATCGACTATGTTCGCCCCAGGTGGGAGAGCCTCGTCGACGTAGGTGCTTGTGGACTTCCAGGAAGCCATCTCTGCGTCCATGGATATCTGCCACTAAGAGGAGTACGGACACGTGATCACCTCTGCGTAAGTGCGTGGGGTCGGGATGTCCAGTGCATCCGGGTCTCCCTCAGGGCAAAGTAGCGTGGGCGTGAGATGAGGTGCAGCGACCGCAAGGCACTCCAGCTTAAACTGCCTGTCTTCAAGGACGTCACGGCCAAGGGCAAGCTCACCCCCAACGGACGGAGGACAAGAAGAGTCAAGGACAAGACTCGCAGCGTAGTCAAGGCGGCACAAAGTGGCAAAGTGAACAAGCTCAGGAACTAAGGCAGACGCAACAGCAGACTCAAAGAAAGGGTCAGTCACAACTGTGGCAAGGAGACGAGTGACAGTCGGACTGGCAGCACGGACGATGTCAGACTCAGGATCAGGAACGTGCGGAAGAGAGGACACGGGAGGCGATGGCAAGACAACACGCTGTGGAACAGAGAAAAGACGGAGTGTCATACCGTGAATGCCCGGTACAACCGGAGCACGAGGACGACGAACAGGACGAACACGAGAAGGGATAGAAGCTCTAGGCTCAGGCTCTCGATGCTCAAGAGTGGAAGCACGAGTCTCAGGCTCACGACGCACAGTCAAGGACGCAGTCACCTCAGTGTAAGGAGCAGGAGCAGGCAGCAGGGAACCAGGCAGTAGCTGTGGCTGAGACTGATTAGTCGGTAGGAACAGTAACGGGGGAGTAGTACCAGGAACCGGGAACTCAGTAGCAGCAGGCGGGTGAGTGAGAAGGCGACGAAGCACAGATGGCTACAGCTGAGTAGTCGCACCCCCAGAACCTCCAGCTCTAGTAACAACGGCACCCCCAGAACCAGTACCACCAGCTCCACCACAAGGACTGCCCCAACAGTCAGCCCACTCGCGAAGCTGCAGCGGCAAAGTGACTCCCGCCGACTAGCACCACGAACTCCAGAACCTCCAGTAGTACCTCTAGGAGTACCTCCAGTGTCCGCACCGCCTCCAAAACCAGTACCTCCAGCACAGCCAACTCCAGGACCACCAGTACTAGCACCACCAGGGCCAGTGCCTCTAGTACCTCTAGCAGCACCTGCGCCTCCAGTACCTCCAAAAGCACCTGTGTCTCCAATACCATGAACACCAGCACTAGCACCTCCAGGGCCAGCACCTCCAGAACCTGCAGCTCCAGCACGTCCAGTGCAGCCACGAGAACTGCCCGCAGCAGCACCCACACCAACAGCACCTCCAGCAGCACCAGGAGTCCCACAACTCCAGCTCTAGTAGTACGAGCACGGCTAGCTCCTCCACCAGGGCTGCCCCACTGGACAGCCCACTGTTGGAGTAAGGGCCAAAAAAACTCAAGCTATTAAGACTTAATCAAACTTAAAACCTCTCCTCGGGGTCACCTCCAAGGGTCTTTGGGTGCCTGGTACAAGACCAGCCCCTATCCTCGGGTCCGAGTTTGTAGAGAGAGGAGTCAAGAATGACTTAGCCAAAATAACAAGAGTACCTTGAATGTCGCGCAGCGTATCGTGCAGACCGTCGATTGGATTAAGCTGAGAACTTCCTATATCGAAGCTCGCTCTAAGAGCTCTAAAATAAGCCAAGTTGCCTTGCGAAAAGTTCTGCCATTACGGAGTTATGGCTCGGACAGCGTTGGCCTAGCGTTGGAGTGCTAACATACTAGCGTTGACTCGGGTAGCATTCCGCTGTCGTACCGTGTAGAACGAAATTCCAGGAAGGGAGGAATTCGCTTGAATCAAATTGACTATATCCAGGTATAAACAGAGAAGGAATAAAAAGTTATAGCTAGCAAGGACCTTGAGAATCAACCTGGGAACAACCAGGGATGATCCCAAGTAATTCCAAGCAACAGAACCAACCTGGCTGGACAAAACAGCAGGTGGTAGGTTGGTAAACAACCTCTGGTTCTGTTTTTCCAACCTGGGAAAACAACAACCAGGTTCAGGTCCTAAAAACATAACCTGTTTTGTCTTTGCCCAACCAGCCAAATGCTGGTTCTGCTGGTTTCCCCTGGCCCTGTAACATGCAGATAACAAACAACATCCAACCTTCACCTAAATTGTACCCCTATAGTGTCTGCCCTGCTAAAATATAGTCAACCAAACAAAAGAGTACAATTTCGAGTTGGATAGAACTGAATCTGCGCAGTAAATTCAACCGAACCGCAAAGCTTCCATCTTGGGTTCCTTTGCGAGCTCGTCCTTTCTGCTTGTACTGTTCATAACTCGTACAATGTTGTGCCGAAGCGCACATTGCGCGAGTACCTGCAAATGCATCAAGCGAAAATTGCGAAAGCAAACAAACACACAAGTATTCCAATCACACTCAAATGCATTCGCACACGCATACTCATACAAACAGACGGCAGGATGTCGTGCAATGTGAATTTGCACCCAAGACACTCCCCCTCAGCCTGCCGGCTGCATCCCCATCATTCCATGCTAGTTCATGCTCATTCTACTCATGCGCACACAATGCCAATGAGGCTCATCCGCAAGCCTCTTGGCGAGGAAGTCAGCTGGCTGCTGGTGAGTCTTGATATAGATCGGATTCACTGTCCTCCTCTTCACCTCCTTACGCAGCCAGTGCCACTTGATACACATGTGCTTGTTGAGCCCATGAAGCACAGCGTTCCTGGCCATCCCAAGAGCCCCCTTGCTATCACAAAACAGCGGCGTAGCAACCTTCTGCTCTTGCCAATCTCCTCTAACAGCCTCCTCAGCCAAATCACCTCCTTCACCCCGTGAAACATTGCCATGTACTCTGACTCCACAGAAGAGAGTGCCGTCTCCGTCTGCTTCTTTGACCTCCAACTTTCAGGTCCTCCCCCTACTACACAGATGTATCCTCCCACAGATGAGGAATCCTCCTTCTCAGAAGCCCACGTAGCTTCAGTAAAGCAAGTGAGAAACAGCTTGCCATCTCCGAGCCGCTCCCCCTTCTCTTTCAGCACCTCAACCCCTTTCTGCTTCATGTACAGATGCGGAGTATTGAACTCCAGTGCTTGGGTGAGAGTTCAGATACTTCACCACACGCTCAGCTGCATCCACCTGCTCCTCTGATGGATTCTGCACCACCCTCGCTAGCTGCCCAACCGAGAAAGAGATGTCGAGCCTCGTGTGAACTGCTGTATACAAGAGGCTGCCCACCAAGGACTGAAATTTCTGCTGCTCCTCGGCTTCAACCCCTTTATCCTCTGCAGCCTTCACAAGCTTGAATTCTGCTGGCAGGGGAGTTGCAACCTTTCGCTCATTCTCAATCCCATACTTCTCCCCCAGCTCCTTGATGAACTTCTCCTGGTGCAGCTTCAACTACCTGTGATCTGGATCCCTCTCCACGTGCATCCCGAGGTAGTACTTTACCTCCCCAAGGTTCTTGCACTTGAAGTTCTCCATCAGCTGCTGCTGCACCTTCTGGATCTCCTTCATGCTGCTGCTGAAGAGAAGAATGCCGTCCACATAGATCAGAAACAGCACCAGCTTCTCCCCCTCCCCCTTGAGAAAGAGGCTCTCATCACAGCTGCTGGTCCTGAATCCCATCTCCTCTAAAACAGCTGCCAACTTCTGGTACTAGCAGCGTGGTGCATGCTTCAAGTCGTAGATGGACATTTTCAGCTTGCACACGCTGCCCGTACCATCCTCATACCCAGGTGGCTGCGTCATGTACACATCATCCTCTAAAATCCCATTGAGGAATGCCGTTGATATATCCATCTGAATGATGAATTTCCCACTAACAGTTGCATCTGCCAACAAGACACGGAGGGTAGGGGGTTTGGCAGTGGGAGCAAAAATCTCATTGAAGTCCTGCTTCTCCTTCTGCATAAACCCCTTAGCCACCAGCCTACTCTTGTAGATGGTAACCTGTCCCTTGTCATCGGTCTTGATCCTTAGCACCCACTTGCAATGTACGGCTTTCTTCCCCTCAGGCAGCACCACCAGATCCCATGTCCCATTCTCTAGCAGGCTCTGGTACTCAGCATCCCTAGAAACCAGCCACTTCTCCCTATCTGGTCCAGCTAATGCCTCCTCCATGCTAGCTGGTTCCTCTGGTGCAGGGGCAAGAAAACAATAGGCATGTTCATCCTCCTCATCCGGGTCATATCCATGCGGTAGAATCAACAATGCCTCCTCGGTCCCAAGCTGCTGCTCCACTACATCTGATCCTGCACTCAGCTTCTTAGTAGCCATACGGTTACGTCCTGGCCTGGAGACGGGTGTCTCCCATCCCCTCATAACGACACCCTTCGGCTTCTTAGTTTTCCCCTGTTGTTGCTCTCCTCCCTCTGATCCAGCAGCTGCACTAGTGCTAACACTAGTCTCCACATCATTTTCTCCACCAGCAGGTGCCTCCTGTATCTTCTCTCCATCACCATCCTCTGCAGCTGCCTCCTCTCCCTCCTCCCACACATTAGGAGTCAGGTCCAGCTGCATGGTGATCTGCTCCATCTACTGGGACACCCTGGCCTCCAGCTGTTTCTCCCAGCTCCCAAACATCATGCCCTCAACAAATTTCACATCCCTGCTGTCAAACAACACACCCTTAGATGGTTCCCACAGCAGCCATCCCTTGCTCTCAACAGCCAGCCCCAAATGCACACACCAGATTGCACTTGCCCCCAAATTACTGCGGTAGGTCTTGGGGACGTGGGCGACTGCCATGCAACCGAACACCCTCAGCATGTCCACCGGCGGCTTCCTCCCAAGCCACCTCTCCAATGGCACCCACGAGTCATCCCCAACCTTGGTGAGCACCCTGTTCCTAGCGAGGGTAGCGTGCCGAACAGCATGGGGCCACATCGAGTTGCCCAGCCCAGATTTTATGAGCAGCGCCCTAGCTGTCTCCAGAATTGTCCGGTTCGCCCGTTCTGCTACACCGTTAGACTGTGGGGTGTAAGCCGTGGTCAGCTCCCTCTGGATGCCCTGCTTCTTGAGCCAGGCCGTTATCTCGGCTCCAAGGAACTCACCACCCCGATCTGTCCTAATCCGCTTCACCACACACTCCGCTTGCTTCTCCTCGAATGGCAGCCAATCTTCCCGTATCGTAGAGGCGGCGTGGTCCTTCTGCTTCAGCGGACATGGCCACATAAGCCTGCTCCAATAATCTGCTATGGTCAGAAAGTACCGCTCCCCCTTGTGCCCCTGAACCGGCAGCGGCCCCACCAAGTCCATGTGGACCAACTCTAAAGGCTTCTTGCTCCTGCCAGTCACACTATGGAAGGGGAAACGGGTAAACTTTGAGAGCAAACAGATTTCAAAATTCTCAAAAAGTGGCTGTCCGTTCAGCTTCAGACCCTTAACGGCTCCATCTTTCTCCAACTGCTTCAACAAGGGCATTGCCACATGCCCCAAGCGCCGGTGTACCGTTGCCCAATCCGTCTCCCCTGATTTTCACAGCAACCCCTCCAACGGCGTTGCACTCCCCCTGGGATTCAGACCCCTCTCCAGCCTGCCCCCCACCGTGCCACGCCAACGCCGGCAGCTGCCACATGGATCTCTACACATCCTTGCTCTCGTGCAGATCCTGAAGCACCCGATTGCCCAGCTGCCCCTTGTAAGTGTGTGCCCCATCCGTGCTAGTGCTCACCCCAGCCTTGCCAAGCTTATGGAGGGAGATGAGGTTGGCCTTGAGTTCAGGAACGAGGAGAACGTCGTGCAGCACCACCGGCTTGCCATCCGCTCCCTTAAACGCAGCTCGTCCCGCACCAGCCACCTTCAGCGCGTATCCAGAGGCGGAGCACACCTCGTTGATTGGTGCAGCGCGTACGTGGTCCAGCAGGTCCTTGCGCGGCGTCATCGTCCAAGCAGCGCCCGTGTCCAACACCCAATAGTCCAGGGTGTGCAGCTCTTCTCCAACCTTGGCAGAGGCGTCTCCTTGCTCCCCCTGCTCTCCAATATGGAAGAACTGGCCCGCAGTGCGCTCCTTCTTCTTTTCCGCACCGCCGTTGCTCTTCGGGTTGTTGTCGGACGAATCGACGACCATGTTCGCGCCGTTTTTCTGGTTCCTTCGCGCGCCGCCATCTTGGTGACGATTCTGGGAGGTCCATCCATCGGGTTTCTTATAGCACAAAAATCAGGGGTGCCTCTCCTTCTCACAATACCAGCAACTCCCTTTCATTTTGCCACCAGCACGCGACTTGCCCCCACGTCCAGATTTCGCACCGTGACCCCAACCGGTACCTCCTTGTTGGTCGTTGGAGTCGTCGTCCTTCTTTGCACCGCGTCCAGCACCACCGAAGCCACGTCCTCTGCCACGTCGGCTCCCTTGCATCTCATGGCCGCTGCTGCCGTCATCTCCACCCCTCAGTTGGCGGCGACGAAAGTCCTCCTCACGAATCTTTGTCCGCACCCACTCGAGTGTCCATGAGCTCTGGTTCTGTGGCAGGCTCAATCCGCTCGTGAATTGAAGCCACGATTCCGGCAGCAGCGAGAGCATCTTTAAGCACTTGGTCTGCTCTGGGTAGGTGATTCCCGCAGTCGCCAACTTCGCGTAGAGGTCGCGCATCTTGTCCAGGACAGGTTGCACCGGCTCTCCCTCGCTCAGGCGCAACGCGGACAGCTTCCTCTTCAGCATTAACGTTGCGACAACGGAGGTTGGGGCGTGCAGCTCCTTCAACACGGTCCACGCCTTCGGACCACACTCAACCTCCGGTAGCAGGTGCATAACGTGGTGACGCTGGTTCAGCTCCAAACTCTGCGACATCAAATAGTAGCCAGCCGAGGAGCGCTCGTCCCAATCTTCCTGCAGCGCAGGGTCACTCGGTCTAGGCTCCTCTCCAATCATTAGTTTCAGCAAACCGATTTGGCGGAAATACAATTGCATTTTCCAGGCCCAATCATCATAGCCCTCAACATTGAACTTCTCGACGGTGAAGTTCTTCAGCACCTCCTTGACCAGCGAGCCCTGGTTTCATCGCGCCCCCCTTGGCGCTGAAACACCAGAATCATGGCTGCCGCTACGATCTTGGGCTGAAGATTATCCAGCTCCCGTCGATGTGTTGCCCGCCATATTTACCTATAACGATGATCACTATAACGCAGCTCTGATACCAGCTTGTTGGTGTAAGGGCCTAATAAACTCAAGCTATTAAGACTTAATCAAACCTAAAACCTCTCCTCGGGTCACCTCCAAGGGTCCTTGGGTGCCTGGTACAAGACCAGCCCCTATCCTCGGGTCCGAGTTTGTAGAGAGAGGAGTCAAGAATGACTTAGCATAAATAACAAGAGTACCTTGAACGTTGCGCAGCGTATCGTGCAGACCGTCGATCGGATTAAGCTGAGAATTTCCTATATCGAAGCTCGCTCTAAGAGCTTTGAAATAAGCCAAGTTGCCTAGCGAAAAGTTCTGCCATTACGGAGTTATGGCTCGGACAGCGTTGGCCTAGCGTTGGAGTGCTAGCGTACTAGCGTTGACTCGGGTAGCATTCCGCCGTCGTACCGTGTAGAACGAAATTCCAGGAAGGGAGGAATTCGCTTGAATCAAATTGACTATATCCAGGTATAAACAGAGAAGGAATAAATAGTTCTAGCTAGCAAGGACCTTGAGAATCAACCTAGGAACAACCAGGGATGATCCCAAATAATTCCAAGCAACAGAACCAACCTGGCTGGACAAAACAGCAGGTGGTAGGTTGGTAAACAACCTCTGGTTCTGCTTTTCCAACCTGGGAAAACAACAACCAGGTTCAGGTCCTAAAAACAGAACCTGTTTTGTCTTTGCCCAACCAGCCAAATGCTGGTTCCGCTGGTTTCCCCTGGCCCTGTAGCATGCAGATACAGACAAACTACAGCCAACCTTCACCTAAATTGTACCCCTATAGTGTCTGCCCTGCTACACTATAGTCAACCGAACAAAACAATACAATTTCGAGTTGTAAAGAAATTAATATGCGCAATCAATTCAACCGAACCGCAAAGCTTCCATCTTGGGTTCCTTTGCGAGCTCGTCCTTTCTGCTTGTACTGTTCATAACGCGTACAATGTTGTGCCAAAGCGCACATTGCGCGAGTACCTGCAAATGCATCAAGCGAAAATTGCAAAAGCAAACAAACACACAAGCATCCCGTTCACACCCAAATGCATTCGCACACGCATACTCGTACAAACAGACAGCAGGATGTCGTGCAATGTGAATTTGCACCCAACACCCACTTACGAAGCCGCTCCGGTGACGTGCACCAGTACCACCAGTAGTAGAACCTTCAGCTCCAGCAGTGCCAGCACCTCCAGCTCCAGTAGTCTCAGCACCTCCCACTCGAAGACGGCTACCTCCACCACCAGGACTTCCCCACTGGACAGCCCACTCGCGAAGCCGCTCCGGCGACAGAGCCTCCTGCCGACTCGTGCGAGGACCACCAGTACCAGTACCTCGATTACGTTCTGTACCCAGAGGACACTCAGCACCCCCAGAAACCAGCATCCCCAGTTGTACCACCTCCTGCTGCACCAGAGTCCACAGCGACAGGCTGCAGCGGCGGTGAAGACGGTCGAGGCGGAAACCCAGGAGGGACCGCCAAGCGCGCAGAGCGGCGAGGAGTCACAGTGGCAGCAGGAGTCGAGTCACCCCCCTCAGCTGGGCGAGAGGTGTCAGAGGAGACCTCAACTGGCTCAACCAAGGGGGACGGGTCAACCTGAGACACACCTGAGGGTGCAGGACTGTGCGGGGGAGTGGGGCTACCGGGGGGGGTGGGTTGGATACCAGGAAGAGAGGCGGGAGGGGCACGGGGGAACTGCGGTGGGGGTGGAGATGGTAGAAACAGACAGACTCGTCAAAAGTGATTTCCTGGGAGGAGAGAATACGACAGGAACCCGGGTGGTAAAACTGCCAGCCCGGGGCGTGGGTAGGGAAGCCAAGGAAGACGCAACGAAGAGTGCGGGGAGAGAGCTTCCCCGCGAGGGGGTCGCGAACAAGCGAAAGGGCACCCCAGACTCGAAACGGCGACGCATCACGAACCTCGCCCGTCCACAGCAGAGTGGGAGAGGTCTCCGGGTGGGAGACACGGGGCCAGAGGTTGAGTTGCTCAGCAGCGTATCGGACCGCAAACGGCCACAAAAAATGGGGAGCAGCCGCATGGACGATAGAAGTGCGAGCATCGTCCATCACCAAGCCAATGCGGCGCTCTGCAATCCCATTCTGCTGTGGAGAGTCCGGAAGCGTGAACGTCTGGCGGATGCCCTCAGCTGTTAGAAGGAAATGCTGTCATGAGCAACAAAATGTCTGCGCTGGGATTCAAACTCGTGACCTTCAAATCTGTCCTGAAAGTGTCTCAGAACAGATTCAGGATAGTTTCTGCTAAGGTGCTGGTTATGGTGCACGCGAGTTTCGAACTGGGGACCTTTAGATTCAAGTGTCCCGAAAGTGTCTTATCAGGACAAATTGGGGACAGTTTGGAGACAGATTGAAGACAGTTTGGCGAAATCGATCTCGGGTCGCGTTCGGCTTGAAACTTGGCAGCAAAGTGTCGAAGTCAACGGAATTCGCACGGGAGTTACAGTCGGCGGTCGACAGAATTCTGGTCACGGAAATTCTCGTCTACGAAATTCCAGTCAATGAAATTCGCTCGGCAGAATTCAAGGCTCAGTATTTCGCGTCGACTAAATTCAACGTGCGAGCCGGGTCGACACTTTCTTGTGTGCTTTTATTTTGTATTGGGTCCTAGTATAAAACCAGAGAGCACAAACCAGAAATTAACTAAGCCATTTTCACTGCTATGTTTGTGTGTATCTCTGGCTATAGTGGACCGTTTCCTGCAATCTTTGATGCGTTGGAATCGTGCTTTTAGTCTCTATCAAGCTGCTATAGTAGTGGAATTCTTCAGGGTATCAGAGCTGCGTTATTTGCGTCGATCCAGCTAGCGGCTTAATTCTGTCCTCCGATCACTTTGTTCCCACGTTGATGCGGTCGACGCTCGTTTTTACCGCGGATGAAGTTGTTAACGAGCGCCGAGGGCTTGAATGCCCGTCAGGAGTTGGAGGCGTCCGTTTGTGAGCACCACCATAACTTGTGTGATGAGGAGGTCGACCTCATTGTGGACGGTCGTCTACTACGCATGGTTCGGGAGCGCGCGGCGGAGCAAGCACCTGCGAGCGGCCAGCAAGGAGGAACCGGTGAAGGAGGAGCTGTGCACGAGGCTCCAACTGCCATGGGCGTTGGTGGAGGAGCTGTTACACCGACCATTGACACTGGAATGATCGGGGCGAGCTACGGCCAATTCAAGTTTGGAGCAGGGCATATCTCCGTGACGCCGCTGCGAAAGGGAAGTCACGACCTTACCGCATGGGTCAGCGCCATCCGATCTCAGCTCCAGTGCGCTGATTTGTGGCAGTTTTGCAACGGGACCACACCAAGCCCGGCCTTGAACAACCCTTTGCAACGAAGGGAGTACGCAAAGGGCCAAATGCTTATATTCATGGTGCTGAACCGATGTGTTTCTCCACCCATCCGCATGTCTATCTCTGGTTTCTCTCAGCAAGAAAAAGCCGGAAAGCTAAGATGGGCATATATCTTGTCTACTTATCAAACCCGTGATGCCCTCCACGCTTCCCTACTTCAGACCCAGTTAGCCCAACTTAGGAAGGGAGAAATCAAATGCGGGGAGGGAAGAGATGGGGAGGGATGGGAGGCCCTGTGGGAAACGAGCAAGGGGTCCAGAGAGGGTCAAAAGAGGCAGCAAGGGGAGCAGGAAGAATGGAGCATAGGGGCCGGGAGAGCAGATGGCAGGGAGGGGGCAGGGGGTGTGACTATGAAGGGGGGGACCTGTGGACAGAAAGTGTAGAGGTCCGAGCACAATGTTGATGTGGTACGATCATACCTTGGCTACTATGCTTCTCCCCTCCTCGCCAACCTGCCCGAGCAAACGTTGTCGACGGCCTCCGGCCAGTGAGAAGTCAAGCTTGTCGACGAGGATGCGAAGCCGTTGACATGCATACTGACCCAGAACACCGCTGGGACATCACGAGGACGACTACGATGGAGGCATTGGCGGACTGGAAGGGCAAGGCGGTGAAGGCCCCTATGGATGAGGAGACCCGTAGCCTCATCGGCAAGTGCAAGTGGGAGCTGGTCCAACACCCGTGCCGTGTTAATATCATGAAGAACCGGTGGGTGTTGATGATGAAGTACCACATCGACGACACCGTCAAGCGCAAGATGGTGAGGATGGTCGTGAAGGGCTTCACACAGGTGTATGGCGCTGACACCCGTGACACTGCCCTAGAGTTCCATGGTGAACCGGAATGGATGTGTGTGATCGGCTACGTGGACGCCGATGATGCTGGCAACAAGCAGAACCAGACGAGCACGGGTGGCTACGTGTTTGTCTTTGGATGGGCCGCCAACTCCTGGTCGAGCCAGCGCATCAAGTGTGCAACGCTGTCGTCGACCGAGTCGGAGTACGTCACGACCACGTAAGCCGGCAAGGAGGCTTGACGACTTTGCTTCCTCCTTGCAGAGATCCTGCTGCTTGATGCTGGGGCGCCAACCGTCCTTCGAGTGGAAAATCAGTCGACCATCACGGTTGCTGAAGGCTTGGGGCTAAAGGGCAACGTCAAGCACATGGAGCGACGCTATGCTTGACTGTAGCAGATGGTGAAGCACGGGAAGATCGCATTGAAGTATATTTCGACCATCGAGCAGCCGGCCGACTTCCTGACAAAAGGGCTTCACTATCCGGCCTTCAACCGGTGTTCTGTCGCGATTGACCAAGTCTGATTGGCCAACGTTGGCGTCGATGATGACGACGTGCAGTAATAGGTGCCGTGCTCTTCTACACGGCTGGTGCGGTGATGTTGTGCTGTGTGGATGCACGCCGATGATGAGTTCTCTCAGTAAAGTTTTGCCTTGTGGGCTGGGTGCCCAAGCGTGAGCGCGGCAGAGGAGTGTTGACGGAAATTGGGTGTTGGCCTCGACCTCGCTTGGGTGAAGCCAACTCTGTGGTCGGGCGCGCGGGAGGTGCGGCCGACCATAGGCAGAGTGAAGCCAACTCTGTGGTCGGGCGCACGGGAGGTGCGGCCGACCATAGGCAGAAATCGATGCCGACTTGTGCGTGCATGTCCAAGAGGTGGTCACCTGCAGGCTACCGCTACTATCAGCTGCGGATGCAACATTGGCAGACCGCCTTGGTGCACCGTTGGCAAGCCGCGGACTTGCTGTGCTAGCAGGCCGCTATTCTGCAATGCTGGCACGGTTCCTTTTCGCTAAGCTGGCAGACTGTCAACCTTACTGTGCTGGCGGTCGACCAGCTTGCCTGCCAGGTCGCTAGGCCCTGATGTATTAATTCTTGCCGTTGCTTGTTCTATTAGTGTTCTCAACTTTTGCTAGTAAAACTTTTGCGTTTTTGCCTTATGAATGCATAAGTGTTAGGGAACACAAAAAAACGCTAAGATCACTCGCACAACCGTGCCTTGCCCATAGTCGAGCTCCCACCTTTGTAGAGTGTATCTCCGCATTACTTACCCATATGGTTGGTACCAAGAGTAAGAACGTTACTTACACATATAGTTGGTACCAAGAGCAAGTGGGATAATCACCCATATGGTTGGTACTGATAGTAAGTGTGTTATTTACCCATATGGTTGGTATCGAGAGTAAGTACGTTACTTATCTATATGGTTGGTACCTCTAGTAAGTGCATTATTTACCCATATAGTTGGTATTGAGAGTAAGTGCGTTAGTTACCCATATCGTTGGTACCAAGACTAAGTGCGATACTTACCCAAATGGTTGGTACCAATAGTAAGTGCGTTAATTACCCATATCGTTGGTACCGAGAGTAAGTGCGTTAGTTACCCATATGGTTGGTACCTAAAGTAAGTTCGCTACTTACGTATATAGTTGGTACTAAGAGTAAGTGCGTTACTCACCCATATGGTTGGAACCGAAAATAAGTGCGCTACTTATTCATATGGTTGACACCGAGACTAAAGGCGTTACTTACCCATATGGTTGGTACCGAGAGTAAGATGATTACTTCAATATATGGTTGGTACCAAGAATAAGTGCGTTACGTTCTCATATGGTTGGTACCAAGAATAAGGGCATTAGTTACCCATATGGTTGGTACCGAGAGTAAGTTGATTACTTCAATATATGGTTGGTACCAAAAATAAGTGCATTACGTTCCCATATGGTTGGTAGTAAAAGTAAGTGCGTTACATTCCCACATGGTTGGTACCAAACGTAAGTACGATACTTATCCATATGGTTAGTACCAAGAGTAAATGAGTTATTGACCCATATGGCTGGCACCAACAAGATGTGCGTCACCTACCCATATGGTTTGTACACAAAGTATGTGCGTTACTTATTCATATGGTTGGTATCAAATGAAAATGCGTAGCCTACCAATATGAGAGTAAGCATATTTTTTCATATGGATGGTACAGAAAGTAAATGCGTTACTCACCCATATAGTACCGAGCATAAGTGCATTACTTACCCATATGGCAGGTACCAAAAGGAGGTGCGTTACCTACTCATATGGTTGCTACAATAAGTATGTGCGTTACTTATTCATATGGTTGGTACAAAAAGCAAGTGGGTTACTCACCCATATGGCTGGTACCAAGAGGAAGTGCGCTACCTACTAATATGGTTGGTACTGAGACTAAGTTCGTTACCTACCCATATGGTTGGTGTTTGTGTAAGGGCCTAATAAACTCAAGCTATTAAGACTTAATCAAACTTAAAACCTCTCCTCAGGGTCACCTCCAAGGGTCCTTGGGTGCCTGGTACAAGACCAGCCCCTATCCTCGGGTCCGAGTTTGTAGAGAGAGGAGTCAAGAATGACTTAGCATAAATAACAAGAGTACCTTGAACGTCGCGCAGCGTATCATGCAGACCGTCGACCGGATTAAGCTGAGAATTTCCTATGTCTAAGCTCGCTCCAAGAGCTTTAAAATAAGCCAAGTTGCCTCGCAAAAAGTTCTGCCGTTACGGAGTTATGGCTCGGACAGCGTTTGCATAGCGTTGGAGTGCTAGCGTACTAGCGTTGACTCGGGTAGCATTCCGCCGTCGTACCGTGTAGAATCAAATTGACTATGTTCAGGCACAAACAGAGAAAGAATAATTAGCTCTAGCTAGCAAGGACCTTGGGAATCAAC